ACTGCTACTACAAAAAGGATATGCCCATGTTCTTAACTTTCTTATAAGTTACAAGAATTGTATTGTAAGAGCTGAGAGTAAAGATCTGCTAAATGCCCTGCTTGGAAATATGGAAGATCATTGTATCAAAGGTTTAGTCTCAAAAGTAAAAAATAATCAACACCATATTTCTCAAAAGCATTCAATATATCAATTTTACTGAAAAATAACAGTGGAGATGGGAGGTATCGATCCTCCTACCTTTTACTTGGCTATACCAATTGAGCTACATCCTCTGATTATTGAAATTAGAGGATTTTATTAGCATTTTTTTTCTTGGGCTTGGATTTTGGGCAAGATGGCTTGAAGGACGAGGTTCCTCTGCTGTGAGCGCATCTGAAGCTGTGGAAGATCGATCTGAGGTACTAGAAGATCGATCCAAGACACCGGAAGATTGAGGTGAGGCAATCGAGAGGAGATTAGCAGCCCCTGGTGACATTCATCTAGGATTCCAATCCGCTCTTCCCACCCACAGTATTGCTCAAGACCAACCTGGTGACATTCGTCCCTGAGGCGGACAAGGTGCAATGCAGGAGAAGGTTCTGCTGCACGCGATGGAGAGAGCGCTTCTCCGCTCTTGTATTTGATAAAAAACACTAATTTTTTTTTTATCTCCCATAAGCTGCAAGAACTGTGTTATAAGAGACAGTGTCTCGTTGAGGCATGGAATAAAATATGAGTAGCGCATTTGTTAGATGCCCTGTTTGGGAATATGCTGAGAGAAGTGTGATGATCGTCTTCTCCGGCAATGTGTCTCGATAGAGACTCCCGTCTCAGAGCAAAAGAAAGGAATCTTGGAGCATCAAATCAACAAAAAGAGCAGAATATTTTCAAGGCCCAAAACAGTATTTGGAGATGGGAGGTAATCATTAACATTAGTTTAATGGCCCAATATAATGATCCAAACCTTTTAGGGTTTGGATTTTGGAGGCAATTGAGGTGGTGCCCACCCAATCAGTGCGAGATCAATTAGCCCCTGGTCACATTTAAATTCATATTACATTTCTATATGCATCTTCTAAGATCTTTCTGGCATGGAAAAAAAACATTAAACTCAAAGGCTTATACTGCAAAAAAGATAAACTCTCTCATAAACTACAAGAATTGTATTGGAAGAGCTGAGAGTAAAGATATATTAAATGCCCTGTTTGGAAATATAAAAAGTTATTGTGTCAACATTTTGCTTCACTTTAGTAATTTCTCAAAAGCATCAATGTTTCTAAAAAATAATAATGGAGATGGGAGGTATCGATCCTCCTACCTTCTACGTGCTGTGTAAATGCTCTACCAATTGAGCTACATCCCCTGATTATTGGCATTAGAGGATTTCATTAGTAGTTTTTTACTTGGGCTTGGATTTTGGGTTGCGAGCGCATCTAAAGACTGTGGAACATCGACTGGAAGATCGATCCAAGACACTGGAAGATTGAGGTGAGGCAATCGAGAGGAGCATTCATCTATGAGGCACCAAGTTAGTTTGGGGATTCCAATGCGCTCTTCCCGCCAATCAGTAGACGAGGAGATTGCTCGAGATCAACACGCTGCTGGTGACATTCGTCTCTGAGGCGCCATCCACGGACAAGGTGCAATGCAGGAGAGCACGCGATGGAGAGAGCGCTTCTCTGCTCTTCCTTGTGCGCATTCTATGTGGTCTTGCCCAGTTTCACTCTACGATTCTTACAGAGTAGCCAAATCTCGCGCCCACGAAAGTTCATACGAGCCGCTACACCATGCCATCATCGATGGCCTTTGGTATCTCACCAAGCCATCGGATATAGACTGAAACTCGAGGCTGGCTGAGGACGAAAGAGATGACCATTCGGATGAAAGTGGAAACTGCGTCAGAGGTATGATCCATCGCTCAAGTTTTTGCAAAGTTCTCATTGATAAGACAATGGCGACGAAGTTGATATGGAGTCTCTCGTTACTGTTAAAGTATATGATCCACGGGTGTTTGAGCTTCCCAGAGTCAACGATACCTGGGTCACGGTTTTGGTGATTGGAGAAACGAAAACGCTGTGAGCAATAAGATGAACCGCCAGAAAAACCAGGCAAACCATGGTCACCGGCTATCTTGGATTCGAGATTTACAACATCGAGCCTCCAGATACCATCAAATGTTCTCTATGTCCAAAATACTCTCTTGTGATTCCTGTTCCTTGCACTTAAAATCAGGTACTGCGATTCTTCCTACCAGGTGAAAGATCTTAAATCTTTTTTGGTTGGAACTCTATCGACGAAAAACTTCTTTTCAAACTCATTTGCAGCTTGATCCTGGTAGGCTTCGAGGCCTCTTCCTGCTATCTGCGGCTTCCACCCCGAGGTAGATCGGCGATTACGATCTCGTCGAAGATGGTAAAAACGACCTCTATAAGTTTGAGGAAGAGATTTTGGAGCCCTTGACGTCGTGGCAGCTTGAATGGATCCACATTCTTCGACTTCACATAGAGTCCATAGAGTTTGGAGTCAGCTCCCAACCCCTGGAACGCAATCACACAACTTGGATGAACAAATTGCTTAGATATGATCTCCCACCTCGAATGCCTGCTTGACAAGAGAAACTCCGGCGTTATAGCCATCACTGTCGCCGGTGCTAGAAAACCGAAGCCCTCACCTGTGGATCAATTGTAAACTTCCACGAATTTAAAGTACTTGTAGAAATGAGATAAGTTTACCAGGTATGTTGCCTTTCACAAGAGCTGAATTCATGGCTGTAACTGCTCTTCGGACGTTTGTCAATCTTCTCATAAACTGGGGCATGGGACACACCACTAACCTGCATGTATAAAGTTCATGAACTGATCCGACAAACACCAAAAAACAAGAGGATCACCACCAATTCCACAACATTGCAAAGAGCAGCATTGGGATGGTAGACAATCAAGTTCGCACCTGAGGAAAATACCTGAAAGAAAGAAAATAAAAATAAAAAGAACAAGCAGACAGTTCAATGCCATACAAACACAAAACGAATGTAATACCTTCTCAGCCATCCCCATGGCACCATAGAGAGCTTCATTCCAGTGTCCTACCACCTTGGGAAAAGGACAAGAAAAATAATGACACTTTTGTAAGTTTTTCACTGTACCTCAATCGACAAGTAGCTCGCTAGAACAGTAAGCTGTTGTCGTCAACCAAGGCAACTTCGGCCCTAGGAAGTTCCACATGTTAGCATTGGAAAGCATACACATTTAATTACCTCAAGGCTTCAGCAGGTCAAGAGATGTTTGAGAGCCTTTAGTTCTTGCAAAAAGTACAACCGGCCAACATACTCCTGGAAGCATAATAAATAATAGTCATTAGTAATCGCTTCGATGAGCAGTGTGTATTCTTCAACTCCATGCAAAGTAGCTCAAGCCAGAAAGATCGATGAAAATCAGTGTCATAACAAAACAGTTTGAAGCCCGCAAGACCTACAAAACGAAGTCACACATCAAATCTGGAAATGAGAAGACGCCTACATACATGATTTGGAGAATGACCGGAGGCCGTCATTGAAAGAGTTCACAGAATCCGACGATGCACTATCATTCTGGAAACAAGAATATAAAGAATAGATGAAACATACCAAGCAAAACTTTAACTATAAAGTGAGAGGGGAGATCATCGCTTCTCATCCTCAAAATCTCTGCCAGTTCAAGGAAATCCCCTCCGCCGTATGTAGAGCCAACCTGCTTGTTCAAACAGTATGTATATAAGTAACAGTGAAGAAAAATCCCTGGGCCATAACCTGCAAGAGATCCGCTATTCCGAGCCAGAAACTGCTTCGCGTTTGTAATGGAATTGAAGGTTCCTCTCCACGACTCAGCACAAAAATTGAAGGTCCCAATCCCATCACACGCCGCAAAGATAATCTCGTTTGCATAGGTGCCTACACAGACTTCAGGCTGAAGAGAAGAAGAGAAGAAGAGCGGAAGCTACAATGGACAAAGATGACTCCAAAGGATAGTCGTATATAATATCAAGGATATATATACATGATGAAGAGACACGCCTCTAGCTTACACTTGGATCAATGAAGTGGCACTCCTGCCACCTAAGAGAGTGTATACCTCAACATAGGCACCTGTCGATTTCATGTTCATGCTGACGTCCACAGAGCATCCAGAGCTTCTGCAATCTCCATTCTTCACTACAAATGATCTTATCACCACACATGATACAGAATAGGCCTTTGCAGAGCTTTAGAGTACTAGTGTAAGCAACCAAAGAGAACGACTTGAGAGACGATCCATGGGGTTCAAATATAGAGGGAAAGGGCCCATGAACAAGAGTGCACCCCCTTTTCCAATCGGTTAAGGGTCTTGGGATAGTTGGGGTTAAGCGTCATTGGGTTTGAATAGTACTGGGCTGGGTGACCTCCCGGGAAGTTCAAATTCAAAAGCTTACATTTGGTATCAGAGCGGTCTCGGGTCCGACTCTGTTGGTTGGCTAAGGGAATCGCACCACATGTTGATTGACATCTGGCTGGTCCAGTTTGCTCCCGCTGGGCTCGACCCGAGGGGTAGGGTGTCAAGAGAGCGGGGCTCTCGGGAGAGCTGTGGCTCTCAGCTTCCGTTCACGAGGGCGTGAACTTGCAGGGAAGCGTGGTGGATTATAAGCAACCAAAGGGAACGACTTGAGAGACGATCCATAAAGGTTCAAATATAGAGGGAAAGGGCCCATGAACAAGAGTGCACCCCCTTTTCCAATCGGTTAAGGGTCTTGGGATAGTTGGGGTTAAACGTCCTTGGGTTTGAATAGTACTGGGCTGGGTGACCTCCCGGGAAGTTCAAATTCAAGAGCTTACAACTAGGTTCCATTGGGTTTGAATAGTACTGGGCTGGGTGACCTCCCGGGAAGTTCAAATTCAAGAGCTTACAACTAGGTTCCAGGTCGCTTACAAGGCCCTAGCCATTCCATCAGCTGATCTTCCAGAGGTAAGAAACAACGTGGGTTCCCGGCCTCCGGTTCCAAGTCGCTTACAAGGCCCTAGCCATTCCATCGGCTGATCTTCCAGAGGTAAGAAACAACGTGGGTTCCCGGCCTCCGTCAACTTTCTCAAAATGTAACCTTGCCGCTGACACGTTCTCCTGTTGCTGAAAGAACGAAACTTCACTTGCGGGGCCGTCTGGCAACGAAGCTTCACCTTCGAGAGGGTTAAGGACAAGCTTGTCACCCTCCACCTTCACGAGTCCAATCGGGTCCAGCATGCAGGAGTCGATGCCTATCAAGTAGACAGGCCTGGGAGGGAAGCCATTGCTCAAGTTCTCGATTGCTAGCTAGTTCCCGTAGGAGCAAAGCTGAGGCAGGGTCTTGGAATGCCACTCGGCCACAGAATTTGTGTTGAGATCCAAAATCGTATTCTATCCGCTCCAATCAACATGAAAACTTTGTTTGCAAGTTGTTTTTCATCTGCACCCCGGCAAGTCCTCCCTGAACTGCACCAAGTGCTTTCGAGAGATGGTTTGCACAGCGTAGTCTCGCTCCACGGAATCAAGGCGATATACCGCAGAAGAATCCGCAGGGGCCCTCTCATCGTTTGGGATAAACCTTACCACCCATTGACCTCAAGCGCGATATTCCACCGATGGAACGTAGCGAATTAGTTCCAAGGATATTCCCTCCTTGATTTAACATTTCAAACACTAAGAGTTCTCGTCCATCGATCACAATGGCTCGCTTTTAAGGATTTCTTCCTAGAACACAATTCGAGTGAAATTCCATAGCAAGAGAGCGTCGGCGAATGGAGTTCAACTCTCTTTAGATCAAACGCTATTGTCTACCTTCATTATCATCGTCATCTTTTTTTCTCTCTTGCTCGCCTTCTTCCAACGGCAATAGAAGCTTGTTCTCTAACACATCACCGATGTTCTTCCAGCCTCGATCTCTCATCTTCCTCATCAACTTGGCCACCTCGTGCTGCTGTCCAGTCTTCACGTAGAGATTATACAGCAAAACATACGGCGTGGAGCTCGCGGGATCCAACTCCACGAGCTTCTCGCCGACTTTAGCAGCAAACTCGACGTTCTTGTGAAGAATGCAAGCGCTCAAGAGCGCTGTCCACACCACTTGATCCGGCTCAAAAGGCATCGTCTCCACGAGCTCCTCGGCCTCTCGCAATCGCCCAGCCCGCCCAAGAACGTCGATCATGGAGCAAAAGTGGTGGATCCGCGGCTCTATCCCGTGATCGTCACGCATCGATGCGAAGAACTTCTTGGCTTCCTCGACTCTTCCAAAGTGGCTGCATGCTCCAAACAACCGGAGAAAGGTCTGCTCGTTTGGATCAACGCCCTCGAGATCCATGATCTGGAGAGCATCGTTCCGGAGGCCGACCACGACCGAGCACGACACCGAGTCCTTCTCGGGCATGGAATCGAAGAGCTCGGTGGCCTTGTCTTCACAACCCGCTCGGACGTAAGCAGCGGTCATGGCTGTCCACGACACAACGTTGGCTTTGCTCGAGAGGGAGAGATCGTCAAAGACTGTCTTGGCGGATTCGAGGCGCCCGGCGGTGGCGTAAGCTCCGATCATCGCATTGGCAGTGGCGGTGTGCTGCTCGGGCACGATCTGGAACACCGCCCTCGCCTCTTCCAATCGCCCATTGTTCGCAAATGCCGACACGAGGATGCTCCATGCAAGAGTCTCTCGCTGTGGCATCGCGCGGAAGATTTTCATAGCCTCGTCAAGATGGCCGTTCTGGGTATGAGCCGCGATGAGAGTCGTCCACGCCCGAGCGTCACGCTTTGGCATTTGATCGAATGTGGCCTTGGATTTCTCCAGGAGATTGCTCTGCGCGTAGGCGAGGACGATCGCAGTCCAGGAAACGATGTCCCTGCCCGGCATTTTCTCGAAGATCTGGAGCGTTTCCTCCAAACATCCTTCCTGGGCATACGCCGACAGCAAGATCGTCCACGAAAACACATCCCTGACCGCGATCTGGCCAAAAACCTCGCTTGATTTCTCCAGAAAACCATTCTGGGCATAGCCCTGGAGCATCGAGTTCCAGGAGATCACGTCCCGCCACGGCATCCGCGCGAAGAAGAACTCCGCCTCGTTTAAATCCCCGCGCGCGGCAAAGGCGGCAAGCACATTGGTCCACGTGGCGACATCCGGCTGCGCCATGGTGGCAAACAGCGTTTTGGCTTTCTCCGGGAAGCCATTGACGCCATACCCCTGGATCATCGAGTTCCAGGCGTGGGAATCCCACTGCGGCATCGAATTGAAGAGCTTCTCGGCCTCTCCCAGCTGTCCAGCGATCGCGTACGCCGGGAGGAGCGCATTCCAGGAAACGAGATTCCTCGACGGCATCCGATCGAACAAGCTGCGCGATTCGTCGATCCGGCCCTCTTGCGCGAGGCCCTGCAGCGCCGCGGTCCAGGTGACCACATCGCGCTGTGGGATTCGATCGAAGAGCGCGATCGCGTCGGCGGCATGGCCATGGAGGGCCAGCGCCGCCACGATCGCGTTGTGGGCAACGAGGTCGCGGGTGGGCATTCGATCGAAGATGGCGATCGACTCCCGCAGCGATCCGGCCTGCGAGAAGCCGGCGATGAGCGCCGTCCAGGAGACGATGCTCCTCTCAGGCATCGAATCAAAGAGCTTTTTCAAGCTTTCCAAATGCCGCTCGCGGGCAAATGCTGAGGCTATGGCGTTCCAGGCCACAACATTCCTCGCGGGCATGGAATCGAATAAGCAGTACGCCTGCTGTGTCGATCCCACCTGTGCGTATGACGAGACGATCGCCGTCCAAGAGACGAGATCTCTCCTGGGCATAGAATCGAAGAGACTCTTGGCGTACTCCAGATGCCCATGAAGGGCATATGCCTGGAGCAAGATGTTCCAGGAGAAGCAATTGGGCGATTGAATCGCATCGAAAGCCGATCGGGCCTCGAGGAGCTTGCCGCATTTCGCGTACATGTCGATGAGGAGATTGGAGAGGATTGTGGGAGGCGGGCGGCGGTGATTGGCGATGCTGTGGTGGACGCGGCGGCCAGCGGAGATGTCCCTGGCGGCGGTGCACGACCGGAGGAGCCGTCCCAAGCGCTTGACGCGCTCCTCGTCCTCCTCCTCGCCTTGCTCGTCATGGTGCTGGTCATCGATTGCGATTGACGATGTAGTAAACGATCGAGCGATCCAGAGAAGAGGGCGATGAACGAACGATCTCGCAATCCAGAGGAAAGGCCGATGATCAAACGATCTGGCGATCCAGAGAAGAGGGCGATGACCATTCCATTTCTTTGACAAAAGTGACATCCCCACATTGTTCTTAAACCATTTAAAACGAAGTTAAGTTTAGGGTTTATGGTCTATGAGATTATTCCATAGTACATTCTCTCAAGTTGAGAATATTCTACAGTATATGCTTTAAGTTATTCCATGATCTCTTTGCTTGTAAATGTTCTCCATGAGTACGTAGGCATAGCTCGATCCATCTCTCGTCTCTTCCACTCCCAGCAGCGCCTCGAATGCCACTCGCCCAATCTCCAAGTTCTTCCACTTCTCACACCCCGCGAGAAGGATCGTCCATCCCACCGCAGTCGGCTTGAAAGGCATCGATCTGAGGAGCTCCACCGCGGCCTGGAGCTCATTCGCGCGGCACAGCAGATCCACCACGCAAATGTAGTGCTCCACGCACGGCTGGATCCCAAACTTTTGCTCCATCGTGTCGAAGAGCTTCCTCCCGGCTTGGATCCGGCCAGAGTGGCTGCAAGAGCTCAGCACACACTGCAAGGTGGTGGCGTCTGGATCCACGCCTTCGCCCAGCATCCTCTCGAAGAGCTCCAAGGCTCGATCGCTCTCGCCACTGCGGCTCAATCCAGCGAGCAGCGCGGTCCAAGTTGCTTTCCCGCTCCGGGACGATGGGAGCGAGTCGAAAACTTGCTGGGCTTTCGCCACCTCGCCGTATCTTCCATAGACATCGATGATCGAGGTGGCGAGCGGAGAATCGAAGTGGACGAGCGCTCCATACCTGTTGATCTCGGCGTGAACTGCTAGAGTTGCGTCCAGGCTCTGGCAAGCTTTGAGAGCGGCGACGAAAGTCGGGCTCTCGGGAACCAGGCCTTCGTCTCTCATGAGCTCCAAGCAGTGGAGTGCCGAGGCCTCTTCCCCGCTTGAGGCGTAGCCGAGCACCAAAACTGTCCACGAGAAGACGTTCCGGTTGAGCAAGCCATCGAAGACTCTGCGAGCGTCCACCATGCTTCCACAGCTCGCGTACATGCTCACGAGCGTACTGGCAACGAAGCTGTCCAATTGAAATCCCCGCCTCGACACCTCCGAGTGGAGAGCCATGCCTCTCTCCAGCGAGGAAAGCTTGACAACTCCTCCTGTTTCTAGCGTCTGGCCTTCCTCTTCACTCGCCAAGCTCGAGCAGGCCTTGAGAACCGTGGAGTAAGTCCGAGTGTTTGGAGCAGCGGAGCTTTTGAGCCGTCGCATGGAATCGAAGACTCGGACGGCCATCTCGGGCTCTCCATTCTCCACGTACGCATGGAGCATTGCGTTCCAGAGCACGACGTCGTCGAGAAAGAGCACGAAACTCTTGTCGAAAACCATCCGAGCGTCGAGCAAACTTCCACAGTTGGAGTACATATCCACCAGCGAGCTCGCTACAAACTTGTTGGCCTCGTTGCATCCGAGCTCCACAGCCTGCGAGTGAATCGCCATCCCTCTCTCCAAACACCTCAGCTTCACGGCCTTTCCGCCAATCTCCTCGAAAGCCTCCTCCTTGGAAGCAATGCCCGAGCACGCCTTGAGAGCCGCCACGAAAACTCTAGCGTCGGGCGAGCACGAGCTTTCCATCTTCATGCGATCGAAGCACAGCAAAGCCAGCCCCGCCTCGTCGTTCTCGACGTGTCCCAGCATCAGCACTGTCCAGGAGACGCAGCTATGGATCGCCATCCTATCGAAAACTCTGCGAGCTTCCACCGTGGAGCCGAGCTTGGCAAGCATCTCCATCACCGCATTCGCGACTTTGATGTCCGAGTCGATGAATCCCTTTGCCGCTGCTCCGGAGTAGACCCTCATCCCAGTTTCCATCCACCAGCCTGCATCTTGCTTGGGGGAGCTTTCGGCGAGACGCGAGCAAGCCTTGGCAGCAGCAAGATAGATTCCTTCCATGCCTGTGAGAGGTTCTAGACCCGGACTAACATATCCCAGCATCCACGGATCCACACCACGCAGCAATGCTCCGGGCATGGAATGCAAAGCGCTGTGAGCTTCTACCATGTTGCCACATCGAGCACAAATGCGGATTAAGGCGCTGGGCACGGCAATGCTGGAAATCCCCGTGGTAGCGTGGATCCTCCTCCCGGTTTCTACATCCCTGGTGCTGCGACACACCTGGAGCGTTGCGGCATGGAAGGATTGCTGGAGGAGCCGCCATGGATTTGGAAATGTACCTGGATGCAAGAGCCTCGCAGCCACGACCTTAAACCCTAAACGCTTTAATTCCAAATAAAAGTTTATACTCGTCCATGAAATATTTCCCTGGTTCGTGTCACTTTCCCTTCCTGCATGACCTAGCCACGTACAGTAGCTTAAATAATTTTCACATCAAGGGAGTTCAAGGTAATATGGCTATGGAGAAGAAATGTGTAAACGACAACACCAATGTCACAACAAACAACACTTATATTAATAAGGTGACTTCTTATAATCTGTTAATAATTGTTTTCTTTAGCATGAGCTAGTTAAAGGGTTGTGCAACACTTCTTACAGAACTTGACACCATTCTCAAGTTTGCTTATAAAAGATATTCACTTATGAATTATATATTTCCTAATAGTCATTACATATGGGTGGTATTATATGTCATAATTTCGAGAATTTTCCCTATGTTTGGAGGATGTTGCATTGCTTTGGTTGTGAATTTTGTGACACTATTAAATGCTATTATTCAATTAGTGTTTGATGGTCTTCATACACTATTAAATACCACTATTTGATGGACTTAGTGAGGCTTATGCGAGATATTCTAATAAAGTTGTTGACAAAGTGTTGAAGCTATACAACTTTTTGGGGGAGTTCATTATACATTTTGGTATTTATATCAAGAACTTGCTAATGCATGTGGATTCTAAAATATCTAAACCACTCAAGTTGGGATTGTTTTATATGTGTATGGTCTTATTAAAACTTTTATTTGTGCACATCAACCTTCTACAGTTGATGATTGAATTGTTGTTATACACAGTTTAAAGAGAAGTTTTAGTAATCTTTTACACATATGTTAAAAAAACTAAACTAAGAAAACTAAGAGGAAATTTGCAAAGAAGCATTTTGTTATTTTAAGTTGTAATGATATATCCTCTTTAGCTGTGAATAATAATTATATTATTTTCCCCTTAGTTGTGGATAATAAGAGGTGTTCTATAATTTCTTCTCCACTCTCTTTTACAACTTGTAGTATGGAGTTAATGGCAGATGAAATATTTATATTTATTTTCTTGAGAATATTGTTTGCATTTTTATTCTACATAATATTATAATAGATATAATCACATTTTAATTACTATATATAGTAATAAATTGTGAGGCATGTTATGAATGCAAACAATTTATGATAATAATTTATGTTATCTACTCTTTTTTAAGTGTTTTAAATTGAATCCACAATTGATTAAGAAGTTAATCCATTTGTCGTTTGAGAAAACGTTAATGGGATATAAATAATGTTGCTATTATTGATGACTAAAATACAAAAAGTAATTGCTTGATCCTCCAACCACAAAGCCCAATCCTCTTTATTATTGTGGTGGTGGCAAGGAGAAGCAATCTTGAGTTGAGACTATCTTTTTGGTTGGTAAAGTAATTATAACTTGGGGTGCAAATTTGTATCTATCATTAAATATTGCTCAACTGCTCATGGATGTGGCTATAATGATTGATCATATAAAAAAAAAATATAATAGTTAACCTATAAATACTAAAAATTCAAAAATAAAGCTCAATTGAGATCAATAAAATCTCACATGGCAGCAAAGTTTCTTGCATGCACAAGTAAAAGATTACTCAAGCTATTTAGTTCTTGCTGACATAGTAGTCTAAAGTTGTAAATTGTTAGTTCATTACTTTGGAACAATTGATTAATAATTTATAACATTCTAAAAATAATGATTTAGAGAGAAAAGAAAAAGGAGAGATGGTGTGCCTAATATAGTTGATCAAAATATATGAAAAGGAACACAAAAGAAAGAGTTGGCATTGCTTTCGCGGTGACAATCAATAATATTTTAACTCACTAACTAACTAAATAAATTCTTATACTTTGTGGGGCATAAAAATGGAATTGCAAAAAATTACAATTTAAATTTTTAATACATCCACACTTCCACAAAAATGTTAATATTTTTTTATAGATAGTGACATTGATAAATGTGAAACCTAGGGTTTATGTTATAAGCTTCACACTACATAAATAACTTAAGAAGAGTGTAATGCATAAAATTTGGCAAGCTAAATGAAATTTATGGTGTGAATTATTAAAATTCCAATATTAAATAAAAAATAAATTACTTAAACTTCAATATTAAAGAAGATTTTTTTTGCATTATTGTTTCTTGGTCTTTTCTTTTGGCTGATAATTTACATGCAGTTCCTAGTGAGTGCATTACTGAATTTATCTACTGCAAATATAATATAGAAAAAAAAATTCATATGTGGTATCAATATGTAATTTTTTTTCATACATAGCAAATATTATTTTGGTGTTATATATGAAATGTTTTAACACTTTAAAACACATACTTATTTTTCCACTACCTATATATGGTAATGAATATACTATTATATATTTACACGTGTATAAATATATATATATATATATATATATATATATATATATATATATATATATATATATATATTATTGTTTTAAATTGCTTATAATATTATAATTCATACAATCAAGTTTTAATTGTAATTGAAATATGATTGTATGCATTATAATATTTGTATTAGGAATGTCATATATGAATCAAACCCATGCAACTAAAATTGCTAATAACATGCAAATATATCTAAGATTGCCAAATGTTATATTGTAATTGATTGGCAAAAAAATATAAAAATTGTCTCGAATATGTTAGCTAGCAATAAAATTGTGCATTCTAGCTCATCCAACACACTATATAACATCATAATTTCTATTAATCTATTGATAATTTCATTTATTGCCCATCTTCCCTAGATTAAACTTTTGATTTACTTTTGTAAGAAACCACAAAAAATGACTTAAGAGACAATTCATAAGGGTTTAAATATAAAAAGAAAAAGCCCATAAACAAAAATTCACCCTATTTTCCAATCGGTAAAGGGTGTTGGGATAGTCCTTGAGTTTAAATAATATTGAGTTAGGTGACTTCTTGAGAAATCTAAACTCAAGAGCATATATTTAGTGTCAAAAAAGATTTTAGGTCCAACTCTATTGGTTGACTTAGGGAATCATACTACATATTGAGATTAACATCTAATGAGTTTAATTTGCCTTTGGCTTAGTAGATCAATGTTAAAGTGCATGTAACCATTAAAAATATGAACACATGCTTAAATCTTGAATTTTAGCATAATTGGTAGTGGCAATAGTTAAAGCATTGAGGCTCATAGTTAACACTCTTTTTGGCATGATGTCTGGTTTATTTGATTAAGTTGATAAATAAATCATCTCTAAGAGGAAATAATTGACATGGCTATAAATATATGCTTTGAAAAAAAAATGGTGCTTAAAAGATTATTTTGTGAGTTACATATATGTTTAAACAATTTAAACACATGTTTTAAATTCATACCATTTAAAATTTGCAAAAAACTTCCAACTTGACTAAGCTGCCCAATGGAGGGACTTGCCCAAGTCCCCCCCTTGGGTGTCATAACCTGTGTACCTCTCATGAAATGCACATTATTGTCAATGAAAATCATTTGTTTTTCCTATATAGGTGTGATATATAGTGCGTATTTTATTGGCTATGTGGCAACATCCTCCACGTATCTTCTTCTTTATTTTAATCTTTATTTCTGTTGTCACAGTCAAAAGCAAAGGTTAGTAAAAAAGAACCCACCCAACAACAAGAATCGGTCAGCATCACTCCCAGTTATTCTTTCGTCTGGCCGGGTCCAGGGAAAGGGAGGCGTTGTTGGGTCGGTCCCTTCATTCGTTTTCTTGCAAGCCACTGATTTCTCGCGCACAGATCTTCCTTGCTTCCAAGTTTTTCTGGATCGATCGATAGATTCAAGCAAGCTTCTCTTTTCTTCTCCCGGTGGTCATCAATCAAGCTCTGTGGGGTGCTCTGGATTCCTTTTTAAAGAGGTATGTGCGATGCCCTCCCAATTGGGTTGAGCAGTGAGCATAGATTTCTCTCTCTCTCTCTCTCTCTCTCTCTCTCACACTGTTGATTGTTTAGTATTTCTTTTTGATGATTTCGTGGTATCAAACTTTGTGGCAGATTGTACTCCCATGGATCGAGGATCGGCTCTCGTCACATTCCTCCCACTTCTCCTCTCATTTGCCCTCTTTGGAGGGATTCAAGCATGCGACAACGGCCAATGTAAGGCAAGTTTTCCTCGATTTTCTCGCTACTTCCTGATCGATCGATATTGGGTGATGGTTTTTCTTTTCTTTGTCTCCACGAGCAGATTGCCGAGTCGTGCTCGCAAACTTCCGATTGTATGCCGGGACTTGCCTGCTCCAACCTGTGTACAAATGCGACTAGATGTTTAAGGACCCAGTCTTTCAATGTTCTTGGGCTGGTAAGCTTTTTCTTCTTTGTCTTTTCACGTGTTCTTCTTTGTTGATCAGTTCCATTCTCCTTTCTACAGAATAACTCAATGCCTTTCAACAAGTACTCGTGGCTGACTACACACAATTCCTTCTCGATAAAAGGATCGCCATCGCTCACGGGAACTCCCATTCTCACGTTTGACAATCAAGAAGATAGTGTCACGCAGCAGCTCCAGGTTGGTTTTTAGAGATCAAGCGCTAGTTTTGTATACCATCTTGTCTTGCTTTTGGTTTCTCTATCTCACGGATTTGATCTCTCGCCAGAACGGAGTACGGGGATTGATGCTCGACATGTACGACTTTATGAACGATATTTGGTTGTGCCATTCTTTTCAAGGCCAGTGCCAGAACTTCACTGCCTTTGTAAAGTCTCTCGCAAGCTTTTGTAGTCTTTGTTAGTCCTGGCTCTGATCGCTGTGCGTTTTTCTATGTAGCAACCAGCGATCAACAC